GAGTATATGTATTAGCTTTAAGTCTATCTCCCAAGTGTACCGATTTTAGGTCTTGACTCGGAGTATACCTATAGCTTCAAGTCTATCTCCCAAGTGTACCGATTTTAAGTCTTGACTCGGAGTATACCTATTAGCTTTAAGTCTATCTCCCAAGTGTACCGATTTTAGGTCTTGACTCGGAGTATACCTATTAGCTTTAAGGAGGTAATTCCTGTAAGTAGAATATTGGGCAAGGCTAGTAACCATGCCAAGCCAGCATTACACAACCATTATTGTGAGGACTCATGGTAGTGTCATACTGTCATGCCACACGTGTGGTCCCGTATAGCCATTACAAGACAGGAGGAGGAACACCGGGGGCGCAGGAATTGCCGTTATACTGCTTTTGTTGATATCTAAATTAAAGCAACACCTGGTATTAGGTCAGTCATGTTCAAGGTATTCTTCATACATTTTCTTATATGTTTGAAAGGCATCCTTTGCCATTGTATATATATATATATCACCATGTGTTCTAAAAATAATTGGCTTGATATATATATATGTATCTGAATGTTATATAACAGCCCGGTACATGTATACACACAAACTGAATGTACATACCAAGTAGGACATGTTAACATATATATACAGGTAAAAATCTCTTTATTTGTTTGATAAGTTATTCACACCAAGATATATATAATTATATCAAAACAATTGTATGTAAACTGAAAGAAGCGTAAATTCTTGAGTTAGGATTGTCACTGTGTAATGAATGAGTGTGGAGATGTTTGTGACAATGTACCTGTGTAATGCTTTGAAGTGTGTGAGGAATCTATCCTCTGTACAGAGTTATGTGGTGAGCTTATCTGCAGTAGGTGCCTTCCAGTTCTGTGCCTCTCTTCTAGTGGCGTGATGTCAGGATGTCATGGTCTTACCTCCAGTGTAAAATAACACTGTGAGTACTGTCAGGTGTGTACAATGAACCTGTACTTATAACTGGCAGCTGATCAGTACAATAGAAACTTGTTACATGTAAAAGCAACACAAGCTCCACACCGAAACAGATGGTTGTTCTCACAGGAAAAAGACATCTGTGTGACTGTGTGCTTGAATTGTATCTACATAAAGATATACCAATACCATTGTCTCACACGGGGATATTTGGATAACTGTTGATTATCTCGGAGCATACCGACTACTTCTTCTACATGATTGAAGGTGAAGTGTCTGTCAACATTTAGTTCCTCTACATGGAGGTGAAGTGTCTGTCAACATTTAGTTCCTCTACATGAAGGTGAAGTGTCTGTCAACATTTAGTTCCTCTACATGCATTATATATATTGACCGCTAGTGTTTCAAATTTTGCGAAAATTAATGTGTTCCAAATGTTGTTGCATCTATTTTGGTGATTAAACTTTTTCCTGAAACTTTGATGTTGGTTTTTCAGGATGGATGCCACTATAGCCTGTTGTGGTCACCCAAAGCCCGTAGATTGCTGTGTGACGCCGCATCTATCGTGTAACTAGGGGCGGCCTGGAGCATGTCTTCTATCAGTCTGGCACATGCCTCCTGTAAGAAGCGAAAAGTGGTCAACGTGATTCTGTTAGACAAGGAACATATACAAGTCTATGTTGATGTAAGTATCTGTTAGACAAGGAACATATACAAGTCTACGTTGATGTAAGTATGTGATAGATATTGTAACATATACAAGTCTACGTTGATGTAAGTATCTGTTAGACAAGGAACATATACAAGTCTACGTTGATGTAAGTATGTGATAGATATTGTAACATATACAAGTCTGCTTTGATGTAAGTATGTGATAGATATTGCAACATCTACAAGTCTACGTTGATGTAAGTATGTGATAGAAATTGCAACATCTACAAGTCTACGTTGATGTAAGTATGTGATAGATATTGCAACATTTTCAAGTCTACATTGATGTAAGTATGTGATAGAAATTGTAACATTTACAAGTCTACATTGATGTAAGTATGTTATAGATATTGTAACATATACAAGTCTACATTGATGTAAGTATGTGATAGATATTGTAACATATACAAGTGTACGTTGATGTAAGTATGTGATAGATATTGTAACATTTACAAGTCTACTTTGATGTAAGTATGTGATAGATATTGTAACATATACAAGTGTACGTTGATGTAAGTATGTGATAGATATTGTAACATATACAAGTCTACATTGATGTAAGTATGTGATAGAAATTGCAATATTTACAAGTCTACATTGATGTAAGTATGTGATAGAAATTGCAACATATACAAGTCTACGTTGATGTAAGTATGTGATAGATATTGCAACATATACAAGTCTACGTTGATGTAAGTATCTGTTAGACAAGGAACATTTACAAGTCTACGTTGTTGTAAGTATGTGATAGAAATTGTAACATTTACAAGTCTACTTTTGTCCCAAATATCTCAAAACTATATTCTGTCGCCTAAAATTGCCAAATTTTGAATTTAAATACCTCTTCAAATGGCTGAGTGTTGCCTTCTTCTGAAAGTGGGTCTTGTGTCTGATCACTACAAACGAGTTAGTCTGTTGTTCATTTTTAGAAAAGGTTGGAGATTTGGAACTATAAATTATGTAAAATATTTTGCCTTGTTATATTGATGGTAATGTTATAGAATCAATATGATTATGTTAACATGCTAATTGGTGATTGTTCTAAAACTTTATTTGTACCAGGTATATTATATAGGCCTTACCAACTACCTGCACAAGGATTAGATGTATTGACTGAATACAGAGGGATTTTCTCCTTTTATTTACATCCAAAACAGCTACATATTTTCCCAAAATGAAGGGGGTGGGGGGAATCATGAAAGTTTTGCTGTATCCTATTTTCCCAATTTATGCAGGCACAGGTACATGTAATAGGTAGAAAACCACTATACCTAAATAAAAGGTACACAGAGTATTGTTCATGGTGTGACATAACTAATAAATACTTCCTCGTCATTATACACTCAAACCCATGTCCTACTTAACATTTAACTTGACGTACAATAGACAAATATTTTAGATACATTTTGTTATTTTTCGTACAATGTACATGGATGATAATCCTCTAGTTTTAAAAATAGATATGATTCATTACATACAAGGTATACTGACTGAAAGGTGTTTGGATGTTTTTGTACTTGTTTACAGCAGCTAAAAGATTTAATGGTGATTCTGACAGTATTCCTCAGCTAGTAAACATGATTTTAATCCCAGATATATACCATACTGTTGTTAAAGTGTAGCTTGATGGTGACTGTGATGAATTAGCCAAGCTTAACACTGGTTAACCACCAGTAACAATCCAACCATCTCATCAACAAAAAATAATCCAAAGATCACCTTATCAACAAAGAACAATCCAATCATCTCATCCACAATTAAATTAATGAATCTATCAGTAAAACCACCATTCCATACCAAAATCATCACAGGTGATAAAGGTAACCACTGCAACTGGCTGAGGATGTCACCTCAGGTAAATGTATCAGTGCACGTGAGAGCTATTTGGTTGAGAATGCCACCTCCTAAATCAGTGAGTTATGTGGCTGAGGATACCACCTCCTGTATCAGTGAGTTATTTGATTGAGGATGCCACCTCCTGTATAAGTGAGTTATTTGATTGAGGATGCCACCTCAAGTATCAGTGAATTATTTGGCTGAGGATGCCACCTCCAATATAAGTGAGTTTTTGGTCAATGATGCCACCTTCAGTATTGGTGAATTATTTGGCTGAGGATACCACCTCCAGTATCAGTGTATTATTTGGCTGAGGATACCACCTCCAGTATCAGTGAGTTATTTGACCAAGGATGCCACCTCTAGTATCAGTGAGTTATTTGGCTGAGGATGCCACCTCCTGTACCAGTGAGTTATTTGGCTGAGGATGCCAATCCCAATTTAAGTGAGATTTTTGGTCAAGGATGCCACCTCCAGTATTAGTGAATTATTTGGCAGTTATTTGGCTGTAGATGCCAACTCCTGTATCAGTGAGTTATTTGGCTGTAGATGCAAACTCCTGTATCAGTGAGTTATTTGGTTGAGGATGCCACCTCCTGTATCAGTGAGTTATTTGATTGAGGATGCCACCTCAAGTATCAGTGAGTTATTTGGCTGTAGATGCCACCTCCTGTATCAGTGAGTTATTTGGCTGAGGATGCCATCTCCTGTATCAGTGAGCTATTTGTCAAGGATGCCACCTTCAGTTTAAGTGAGTTATTTGGCTGAAAGTGCCACCTTAGGAATCTACTGTTAGTTGTTTGGCTGAGTGGTGAGGATGCCACCTTCGGTATCTACTGTTAGTTGTTTGGCTGAGTGGTGAGGATGCCACCTTCGGTATCTACTGTTAGTTGTTTGGCTGAGTGGTGAGGATGCCACCTTCGGTATCTACTGTTAGTTGTTTGGCTGAGTGGTGAGGATGCCACCTTCGGTATCTACTGTTAGTTGTTTGGCTGAGTGGTGAGGATGCCACCTTCGGTATCTACTGTTAGTTGTTTGGCCGAGTGGTAAGGATGCCACCTTCGGTATCTACTGTTAGTTGTTTGGCTGAGTGGTGAGGATGCCACTTTGGGTATCTACTGTTAGTTGTTTGGCTGAGTGGTGAGGATGCCACCTTCGGTATCTACTTTTTGTTGTTTGGCTGAGTGGTGAGGATGCCACCTTCATTATTTCTACTGTTAGTTGTTTGGCTGGGAATGACTCATTCAGAGCTGCGAGTTCCATAGATAGAGACCGTCTGTTTTTACTTGAGTACACCTACTCGTAAACACTAGAAATAATTGGGAATCTGTAAAATTAACACTGACTGAAATGCTATGAACAGTAAAAAGGTTTGGGACCCCTCCCTGCTGTCTGAGTATGGGAAAGATGTAGTTTGGTAACACAGAAAAGGAAGGCTACAGGTTGGTTTTCACACCTGCACAGTTTGAAGTAGACACTAACACCTCCTTAACTGATTACAGAACAGAGGCAGCAGCATCTCAAAGTGGTCATTCTTGACAAAGCGCTACAGTAAAACATCACACAAATTGAAACACCAGGTATAAATGTCTTTTATCTGCATTTCTTCACCTATGTTTTGTAGTTTCCCAAAAGAATGACATCAGACTGATTGAAAGGTGGCTAGTTTCTATTTTTAGAACAGCTCTACTTGTATTTACATTGTAAAGAAATGTTACTGTATTTTACGTATTGGAATTTGGTGGTTTTTGGTAGGATATTACTGTTAGAGGTATGAGAATCATTTCAGTGAACAGTACCTTGTATTTATAAATTACCAGGTTAATATTAACACAACACACGGGTTATGTTAACACTACACACAGGTAATGTTTACACTATACACAGGTAATGTTTACACTATACACAGGTTATGTTAACACTATACACAGGTAATGTTTACACTATACACCGGTAATGTTAACACTATACACAGGTAATGTTTACACTATATACAGATAATGTTTACACTATACACAGGTAATGTTAACACAACACACAGGAAATGTTTACACTGTACACAGGTAATGTTAACACTATACACTGGTAATGTTAACACTGTACACAGGTAATGTTAACACTATACACAGGTAATGTTAACACTGTACACAGGTAATGTTAACACAACACACAGGTAATGTTTACACAACACACAGGTAATGTTTACACTATACACAGGTAATGTTAACACTATACACAGGTAATGTTTATACAACACACAGGTAATGTTTACACTACACACAGGTAATGTTTACACTATACACAGGTAACTTACATTGTATGTATATTGTTAATATTAACATTCCCTCTACACCAATCCTGAAAGTAAGTCTGGAATGACAAGTTTAACAGATTGAGATCATTCCACAACATAAGCTGATAACTTTTATTACAATTCAATGAACACAAGTTATTTTGCTTTCATTTAAAAATACAAATAAGTGTTATTGAGTAAATGAAGTAAGTATGAACTGAGCTATGACAAATCCTGTTTAAAGGAATATGTTAGCAAATATATTAACTGAAATCAGGTTAGAGATATCTTTTTGAAATTAAATCAATGACATGTTTTGAAAGAAAGAATATCTCTTGTTAACATTCTTGTTTAATGTACATGGGTAATCTGTATACCTGTACTATATCAGGTGTTTTCTTACCATAGTTTGTTTTTGGCTTAACTCTAAAAATGAAATCTATCAAGTTCAAGCTTCATTGTGTCTTGTTAAGGTATTGAAACCTATCTATTCTATATAATCAGTGTTGATATTCATACCATTGAAGAGGACATTATATTGTAATTGAATGGAGTTCATTTTAAGGAGCAGCTGTATGTTATAGAAGTATACCAGGTATATAAAAAGTTACATGGTAGATGTGGCCTGAGGACTGCTATAATTGTTGTCGAGTGTGATAAGTAGATCCAGTCATTTACCGACAGATGGTTCAGACACAGGCCGAGATATATCTCGATTACAACATGCCATGTCATAATTAAATCCTTCACGCAAATATGCGGTTAATAGGAATCACATGTTCATGTATTTGTAGAGGGGCAAACTGCAGCTTGTGGTTGAAGTTTATAATAAACCACTATTTACATGTATTGTTTAAGCTCTGGCACAAGTAGTCTGCAGTTTGAATCCAAATAAAATTTATGAATCATGCTTATAAAATCCCAGCAATTAAATCATATATCACTCATAGAACAAAAAGATGTTCTGAAACCTTTTGAAAAATAGATTAAACAAATACACTGTTTTCGATAAATTATGAAAGTCTTTCAATTAAGAAGGGGAATCAGGTGAAATTGATTGGATAAATGGTTTGTGGTTACATCACATATCATGTCAAAGCCACCACTTATTTTAATAGATATTTGTTTATCTCAATTATTCTTAACAAGTCAGTTGCTTGAATAATAAAATCAATGTGTACAGGTCTCTGGTTTAATTTTTAGCTCACCTGGCCCAAAGGGCCGCGTGAGCTTATGCTGTGGTGCGGCGTACGCCCATCCATCCGTCGTCCGGCTTCAATATTTTACTTAAAAAAACTTCTGAATAACCAAGAGGCTCAGACTGATGATATTTAGCCAGTAGCATGCTGGGATGAAGGGCTAACAAGTTTGTTCAAATGAATGTTCTTGACCCACTTTCAAGGTCACAGGGGTCAAATATGTTGAAATCTTCAAACAACTTCTCAATAACCAAAAGCCCTAGGGTACTGATATTAGGTCTATAGCATGCTGGGATGAAGGGCTACCAAGTTTGTTCAAATGAATGACCTTGACACATGTTCAAGGTCACAGGGGTCAAATGCCTTAAAAATCTTCAAACGACCTCTCCTTAATAACCAAAAGGTCCAGGATACTGATATTTGGCCTGTAGCATGCTGGCCATGGGATAAAGGGCTACCAAGTTTGTTCAAATGAATGATATTGAACCACTTTCAAGGTCACATAGGTCAAATGTGTTAAAATCTTCAAACAACTTCTCAATAACCAACAGGCCAGGGGTACTGATATTGGGCCTGTAGCATGCTGGGATGAAGGCTAGGGCTACCAAGTTTGTTCATATGAATGACCTTGACCCACGTTCAAGGTCACAGGGGTCAAATGTCTAAAAATCTTCAAACAACTTCTTCTCATTAACAAAAAGGCCCAGGGTATTGATATTGGGCCTGTAGCATGCTGGGGTGAAGGGCTACCAAGTGCGTCAAATCAATTACCTAGTCCCACTTTTAAGGTCACAGGGGTCAAATGTCTTAAAATCTTCAAACCACTTCTCAATAACCAAAAGGCCCTGGGCACTTGTATTGGGCCTGTTGCATGCTTGGATGAAGAACTACCAAGTTTGTTGAAATGAATGACCTTGACCCACTTTCAACCTAATGTCCTTGTTCGACATTAAAAGTCACAGGCGTCGTATGTTTAAATCTTTTAATATGTTCTTATGAATCAAACACTGATATTCTGCCTGTAGCTGTATTTTAGTCCACTTTTAAGATTACAAGTGTGAGATTAATACCAGGTGAGCGATGCAAGCCCATTGGGCCTCTTGTTTATTGTGTTGGTTGATATATATTTGTATAAGTGGTGAAATATAGCACTGTCCATTATTTACAGTTGTAATGACCATGATCCAAATTGAATATACCGTTTCATATATTTCAGCGGTTAAATGTGACTTTAAAAAAGTTATTTGTCCCATATGCTGATACAAGGATTAATGTCAGATTATAATTGTTATATAACTGGTAGTGAGTTTGTCTCTAAGGACTTTTGAAATATTGATCATCGATATCTTTCATGTGTTGAAAAATTAAAAATATACATTATGTACATATATATCACAATAAGGTATTCCGTCTTTGCGTATTGCAGAGTTATCTTCTCTTGTGAGCAGGTATTGATTGTTACGTCATTGGTTTGTGTGAGAATATTACGTCGTTTTCTCAAAAATTGATGACAGTGCTCGCAAACAAATGACGTAACAATCAATATCTGCTCACAAGAGAAGATAACTCTGCAATACGCAAAGACGGTAATAAGAGTTTAATTCAGACAAGTCAGGTTCAAACTTTCTACATATTTTTAACATTTTGACTATTTCAGAGTGACAAGAATGTTATACCAGCCCTGTTGTGGTGTTTTGTTTGTTCCTTGTTAGTTCTGTGGTAGTAGATACGTGTGGTAGCACACACAGTTAGCTTGTTATACCAGCCCTGTTGTGGTGTTTTGTATTTTCCTTGTTAGTTCTGTGGCAGTAGATATGTGTGGTAGCACACACAGTTAGCTTGTTATACCAGCCCTGTTGTGGTGGTTTGTATTTTCCTTGTTAGTTCTGTGGCAGTAGATATGTGTGGTAGCCCACACAGTTAGCTTGTTATACCAGCCCTGTTGTTGCGGTGTTTTGTTTGTTCCTTGTTAGTTCGGTGGTAGTAGATACGTGTGGTAGCACACCCAGTTAGCTTGTTATACCAGCCCTGTTGTGGTGTTTTGTATTTTCCTTGTTAGTTCTGTGGTAGTAGATACATGTGGTGGCACACACAGTTAGCTTGTTATACCAGCCCTGTTGTTGTGGTGTTTTGTTTGTTCCTTGTTAGTTCTGTGGTAGTAGATACATGTGGTAGCACACACAGTTAGCTTGTTATACCAGCCCTGTTGTCGTGGTGTTTTGTTTGTTCCTTGTTAGTTCTGTGGTAGAAGATATGTGTGGTAGCACACACAGTTAGCTTGTTATACCAGCCCTGTTGTTGTGGTATTTTGTTTGTTCCTTGTTAGTTCTGTGGCAGTAGATACGTGTGGTAGCACACACAGTTAGTTTGTTATACCAGCCCTGTTGTTGTGGTGTTTTGTTTGTTCCTTGTTAGTTCTGTGGTAGAAGATATGTGTGGTAGCACACACAGTTAGCTTGTTATACCAGCCCTGTTGTTGTTATGTTTTGTTTGTTCCTTGTTAGTTCTGTGGTAGTAGATACGTGTGGTAGCACACACAGTTAGCTTGTTATACCACCCCTGTTGTCGTGGTGTTTTGTATTTTCCTTGTTAGTTCTGTGGCAGTAGATACATGTGGTAGCACACACAGTTAGCTTGTTATACCAGCCCTGTTGTGATGTTTTGTCTTTTCCTTGTTAGTTCTGTGGTAGCAGATACGTGCGGTAGCACACACAGTTAGCTTGTTATACCAGCCACTTCCAGATCAGATCAGAAATCAAAAGGTTTGGGGTCACCTGCCTGACTACATATGGGTTTTCTCCGGGTAATTCCATTTCCTCTTGTATTAAGACCCTCTGCACAGGCTTTGATCAAGACAAACAAGAGTGATTGATGTACATTTGGAAATTTTGTTTCATAATTTTATAAAATAACTTTTTAAAGGTAAAGAAAAGGTATGTAAAAGAAAGAGACAGAAAAGAAAATAATTTGTTCTGGTACCTATATTTCAGGTAAAATCAAAATTTCAAGATGTGTTCAATCAAGTGACAGGCCACCTGAATCTGCGGGAAACAGAATACTTTGGACTGGCGCAGAAGAAAGGTATCATTGTTTATTACGTCTACACTCAAGCTGGTCTTAATTAACTAATCAGGAATTTCACATACTCCAGAATGCAAGAAAAATGATTTTTTGCTAAGAATTCTAATGAGTGTGGGAAACAGCCTGCATGTTGGCTCTGAATCTCGGTGAGAGGTTTTTATGGGGAAGTGTACAGCTTTGGGAGAAGTGGAGCCAGGTATCACTGTCGGCCTCGGCGTCTGATTCATCGCTGGAATACTTGTTGGAATTAACACAATTCTACTCAATCTTTTTTACTTATTCAGACCTGGGAGTAAGCCATTTGTACTGTATAAAATAAATTCACCAGGTCTAATTTACTCATTGTATATTTTGAAGACAGAAAAATTTCATGGTCAACAGGTTAAATCAATACTCATAAAAATCTACTCAATATTTGAAGATGACATGATGGCAATAAAACTTTATCCTTTGCCTTTGATCACTTGATATAGACATTTTATACATAGCTATATATACCAACACCTGTCAACTTAATGGTACTGAAATTCTTTTAAAAGTATGGAAGCAAATCCAAGAAAAAGTAAACAAGGTACATTCCTCTGATTTAATTGTGTTAGGTTTCAAAGAACAAATTGATAATGTCTGGTGAATATGTGGCATGCATATGATTTAGATTCTCAAAGATGTGCTCCCTATATATACATACATGTACACTCTATAGTGGATGGTACCGATCATACAGATCCTGTCACGATGATTAGCGGGCAATAACTTATCAATATTAAATACTCTTTATGGTAATTTCCTGCACTATTGCAGATGAAGCATTTTTTTCATTGAAATCTTCAGTATTTTCCATTTGCTATGCATGACTAGTTGTCAGGAATTCCACTTCATATCTGTTTTATGTCTCTTTACTTATAGACGGTGAATACCAATTTGTCACTCTGGAGGAAAAAGTTCACAAGCAAGCACCAAAGGCATGGAAGTCGGGTCACGGAGAGGTAGCTATTCACATAGATGATTTCCAGCAAATTGAAAGTCATTAAATTCAGATTTCTGTTTTGAAGTTTTTGATGTCTTATATAGACAGTTGGGGGTGGATGTTAATTGTCCTGGTTGTTTGTATATATTTACATTACATATAACTAGACTTGTTTGTTATTCTGTTAGTATATTGATTTCTTAATGGTGCTTACTTCCCAGTCATGCATTTACTTTAAGTTGTTGACTTCTTGACAATATAATTCTATTATTTATGAAAAGCACCAAAATATAACCATATTATATAAATCAACATTTTGTGCTATTACCCCCCTTTTAGTAGAATGTATGTAGATACTATTGGGGTAATTGTGTTATGTTACAGGGTTTTGACGCAGCAGGCCAGCCGGTGTTCACCGTGTACTTCAAAGTCCAGTTTTATGTTGACCAAGTCGTCCTGTTGAGGTAAAGACAAATTGACCCTTTGCTTCCATATTATAAAGAAATAAAAGAAAAATTCTCTTTAAATTTCAATTTTACTCCTTTCAAAACATCTCATTAAAAATTCATCAAAAATTCAACCACTAGACCTAACTGCGTTGTGTCTGCAATCATTTAGATTTGATATAAATAATGAGGCAAGGGTAGAGCCAATGTCGTGGTTTTCTTAATGGTGGAATAATTTGGTCCTTTGCTCCTTGCCTGGATACGCGTCTTAATGGTGGAGTATTAAGTAGGCAAATGAGGATTGTTTTTGATTATTGTCCTATAGAGTTTATTCCTAAGTACATAATCTACAACATTCAGCTTTGAGATTATTTTCAAGAATAAACTCTGGAAATTGGATATAAATCCTCAACAATTGTCACCAGTTGGATTATCTAGTTCATCCATTACCAATTCATTAAAGAAAAGCTAGAATTTCTCTGTACAAAAAGTGTGATCTGAGTTATCCAACAATGATGAGAACATTTTATGTAAGATGTATCATAATGCAAGTGTGATGTTTCAAGTTTTACACCCTTACATCATCTGACCTTATCCCAAGCTATAAAACTAAGGAAAAATCACCCACGCATCATTAAAAGACTGATATCGTATTAATATGTATATAATGATTAATAAATAGTTGATAGAGACATGGGTCTGGACAAAGAAGTCTTGTGTCACAACATCCAAAGATGTGGAGCCCTAGCCAAAAAATGTAATCCTGCTCAAGTCAAAATCCTACAGGTGTCAATTTCTCTTTATTGTTAAGGATACTATGATGTTTTGTTTGTAGGGAGAGTGTGACAAGTTAGTAAGAGTATTTTGTATTTTGTAGGGAGAATGTTACGCGTCACCTGTACTACCTACAGCTGAGGGAGAACATCCTCCACTATGACCATGTGTGTACAGAGGAGAAGTGTTTCCAGATTGCATCCTTTGCTCTACAGGCTGACTTTGGCAACTACTACCCAGACAGACATGGCGAGGAATACTTCGACCCGCGGGAATACTTCCCTGCTTGGGTTAGTTATTGTAGAAACTTTTCCTGGTGTGATTACTATCACAAAAACATATTATTGTTTCACTTATTAACCCCTGACATTTCATAATGAACTAATACAAGCTTTGAATTGGAAGAGCTGAAATTTGTTTTCATGAGTGAATGAGTAAAAGTTTCAGTTGTAAAACTATTTGAACCTGAAGAGAGGTTAAGGTCATGTATTCAGGGATAGACCACGTGTACACTGGGAAATGTGTGTATCATGAATGACAATGTCATGAAGTACACTTACATTTTACATAAAATATGTTTTCAAGAAAATTTGTGTTAAGCATCCATCACAAGTCTTATCACCATGGGAACAATGATTTTGTACCAATTATTAGACATGCCTGTTCTAATTTCAGTGTCCTAATGAATAAGTACAGAAATGTAGTTCATGAAATAAAATGTGTATGAAATATATATAATCTCACCATGGTCTACATACATCCAAAGTACTGGTCGTAGTTATAATCCAAAGTAGTCCTCATAAGAAGAAAAAAAACATATATTCCATTAAAAAAGTGTACCTCCATATTTGAATATATGTTTCATCTGTGAGTACTTCTATTAAAGTATATGTATGTTAATGTATTCTTTAGATGATACAGCAGAGAGGCAGTCCCTATATACAAACAAATACTCCACTTATACACCAAGATCTGCAAAATCTGACCAAGTCAGAGGCCAAGCTACGATTTATCAAGGAGGCGTCATTGTCTCCTGCAGCCCATAATCTCCACTTCTACCGTCTCCGCAAAAGGAAAACAGACAAACGATGGAATGCCTGGCTAGGCATTTGTGCACGGGGCATAGAAATATATGAGGTAAGGCTAATATGGTAATACAGAGACGTTGGTGGAGAAAAGTTTACATGAAAGCTTGTTGGTCCTGAACTTCACCGCTAGCATGTAAATCCATTCAGGAAGTCCTAGTTGTAACTACGCAGGGTCCAACTGTACATTGCTCTGTGAAATTATTGGTCAACTCATTCCTGTCACTTTCCTTCCTTCTAATAACTGCCGTTACTGTAAGAAAATGATTGTTAAAGTGTGCACATGACAAAACAATACCCAAACAAATTACAGGAGAAGTCTGAAAACTGATTATGGATTAATATTGGTTATAACTTATTCTGTTTGTTTGTTTCAGGAACTTGAAGGCCATTTGAAAGACTTGATTTCTACTTTCCTATGGCCTGACATAGGGAAATTATATTTTGATGTAAGTTTAGTTGTCACATTGGGTTTCAAGAGGTATCAAACATATCATCCATTGTAAGTTTACAATTGTAAATCAATTAAGTCTATCTTTCTGTGAACATATCCCTGATGGGCTGAATTGGCCTGTAATTTTAAAGCTTAAGAGGATAAAAACATTTCTGAATTAGATAAACAATGAACGATGGTACATAGTGATCTTGTTTCTATTTAATTAATGATACATCTCCTTATATCTGGTAATGGATTAGAACAGAACCAAGATCATAACTAAAGGTTTTTGCTTGTTGCTCAGCACTGCACACATTTGAAATTATTAATGTATGGTTCTGTGTTATGAAATTCACTTTTTATGATGGTTATGTTACAGAAAAAGAAGTTTGAGATTAGATCCGTGGGTAACCCTGCAGGGCGGAAGTTCACCTACTACACTGACTGTGATCACACATCTAAGTACTTACTGTACATCTGTCGCACCACTCACATGTTCCAGATGGCCATTCAGTCCAAACTCATGGAGATACAGCATCTCGATGCAGAAGGTACTTCAAAGTAGTCATAGTAGACATAGCGGGAGGGGAGGGGGTCAGTTAGCTTTCCTAACTCAAAATATAATGAGACACTATCGGTACAGGTACAGTTAATTTGCTTGGTTATGAATCAATGCGTACCAGGAAATGTGTGCCACTGTTAAACTTTTGCTCTTTTTTGCCCTCAACATGTATAGCCATTGCATGTGGAGAATGAAATTAACACTGGGCAGATATGGATTTTACCATCAAAGGGTGGAAGTTTCGGAGTATACAGTAAATAATTCGAAATTTCATACAGTTAATTCATACCAATTAATATTTCATACAGTTAGTTCATACCAATTAATAATTCATACAGTTAATAATTCATACCAATTAAAATTTCACCTTCAGGTCATTTCCGCAATGATTTGTATGATAAACAGTATTCAGAACTTGAAGGATGTCAACAGTCTTTTGGTTACAGGTGTAAAGATCATTCAATTTGGATAACACTGGTTACAACACTACATTTGACTTAAGAGCATATTATAAAACTGTTGAATATATAGTCCATTCATATATCAAACAAAATTTTACCGATATAACATTTTAAGTTTATCAAATAAATTTCACTGGGTATAGAGACTATTCAGTATATTTGTAAATTTAACTAAACATCAGATGTATTTCAATATCTAAAACAAGATTTTAGAATACAGATGGAAAGGTATTTCAGTATATCAAACAAATAATGGGTTTGGAATAATTAACAACTTAGTGTTAAAGGAACCTTCCTGTACTATACCGAAGTTTTCTTATTGAGGTCTAACTCACTCTCTATTATCTATTACAGACAAGAAGCGATACAACGAGGCATACATATACAGTGACACAAAGGACTACATGGCCAATGGAGGCTCGTTCCGGGGGAGTCTGTCCCCCGCTAGCAAGTCGTCCAGTACAAACCCACGCTACTCTGTCATCAGTGATGCCAGCTCAAATACCACATCAGGCATTGCCAGTGACAAGATGACCATTAGTTTTGAGGGAGAGGATGGTAATACTTTCTTCAGTAATCATAATAACAATAGATGTAATATTAACAAAAATACTTGTTATCATGACCAACAATTTTTAGCCCATTATCATCTGATGGTGGGCTATTCAAATCGCCCTGCGTCCGTGGTCCATCGTCTGTCCTTAAACAATTCTTGTTAATGGTTTTCTCAAGAAGGACCAGAGGGATCTTTCTTAAATTTTATATGTAGGTTCCCCTTGGTCCCTAGTTGTGCAAGGCAACTTTTCATTATTCTTACTGATATTACATATTTTTGTATGTTTTGAATGTGAAAACAAAAATTTTTAATAAAAAAAACTAAAAAAAACCCTGATCGGATAAACAACATGGCCAAGAGGCAGCCATCTTGGAGTTTGATAGTTAAGGTTTGTTATCGCTATTTCTTGGGAAGTACCTGAGTGATCTTTCTTAAATTTAATATTTAGGTTCCCCCTTGGTCCATAGTTGTGCAGGTCAACTTTTGGGACAGATCAGATAAACAAAATGGCCGACAGGCAGCCATCTTTGATTTTGACATTGAAGGTTTGTTATCGCTATTTCTCAGGAAGTAGTGGCGGGATCTTCCCCAAATTTGTTATGTAGGCTCCCCTAGGTCTGTAGTTGTGCATATTTAATTTTGAGATGATCAGAAAAACAAAATGGCCAACAGGCAGCCATCTTGAATTTTGACATTGAAGGTTTGTTATCTCTATTTCTCAGGAAGTTGTGGTGAGATTTTTCTCACATCTTATATGTAGGTTCCCCTAGGTCATTTCTTGTGTATATTATCTTTTGAGACTGATCAGATAAACAAACTGGCAGACAGGCAGCCATCTTAGATTTTTGAGGGTTGTTATGGCTATTATTCAGGAAATACTGGAGAGATCTTTCTTAATTTTTTTCTGTCGGTTCCCCTTGGTATAAAGTTATGCATATTCTCTCATGAGACTGATTGAATTAACAAATCTTTGATTTTGACAGTTAAGGTTTGTTAGTACTATTTCTCAGGAATAACTTGATGTACTTTCCCCTTGATCCCTTGTTGTGCATGTTATATTTTGAGACTGATCATAAAAACTAAATGGCTAAAGGAAGAACTAAACAGATCTTTCTCATATTGCAATGATCAATTCCATTTCTTTCACATTAAGTACTGTACTAGTAAATATGTGAAATGACAAACTCACTTTGAAGGTTGGCTTTCATACACATCAGTATTAAGTTTAGATCAAAAGTTACCTAAAGGTGCATTTACTGTTAACATGACTCGATCAAACAGATTAGAGGAAAGAAGAGAAAAGATTGATCTGACAAAGAACTAATGAATATGGTACAATGGTGGGCGCCAAGATCCCTCTGGGATATCTTGTTATTTATTTGCTTTAACTATCTAAAATTTAGTGTTTATGGTCGAGGAGTTTCTTAAATATTTTACAAGCTCCAACTAATATAGGATAAAATAGCAAATAGGGAAATAAAATAAATACATAATTTTGAAATAAAACTTTGTTGCCTGTATTTTCATCCTGGCATCATCAGATTACAAATGATTTTTCAATATAATACAGGAGATGAACCAGTCAGATAAATCTTTCATGTGTACCATTTTTTCTACAGATCCATCAAGAGAGATCTTGATAGACTGTCCCCCTAGACCACTGAGCCGACTGACACCTCCTAGTCAATCCCGCTCCAAGTACTCTGTGGTGTCACGTGATGGTGTGACCATTTCTACCCTGCCAAGTAAGTCTAATAAGTCTACCCTGCCAAACATGTCTAATATATACAGTGGCCATGTCTACCTTGCCAAGTAAGTCCAATATATACAGTGGTCATGTCTGCCACTAATTAGTACTGCTAACTACATAATTAATACCTTCTGTCCAGCTTTGAATTTATCCTATCGATGCTTGGAAAAGAAGGGTAAAGTTTCCTTTTTATACTTTTACAAAATGTTGTGGGATAAAAATCTCAAACAGGCTGAAATATCTCAGTGATTTGTAAAGTAACAGCTTTCAATTTTCTGTTAGGAAAATGTCAAAGTCTTTAACCTATACATATAATCAGAAAGAGGATTTGCCCTCCTATTTTCCTTGGAATGATTTAAACATGGAACAAAAACTTACATTCATGTTGTCAATTATCATGATATTATATAAGGAATCCTGTTATATTTAACTTACTACAATGTTTTGATATGAAAAATAATCCAAATGACAGTTAACAATGAAAACCGCAGCAACCACCTTCAATATTAAATGTAGTGAAAATAGCAACTGATGAGTAAAGTAGTTTTTTCTGATTTTTTAATTTTTCTAGACTACAAATCGAACAAGAACGGAAGTCCTGAGATGGGACCTACAGAATTGTACAAATCTTCCTCAGTGGGACGACCAAGTGGGACTAAGCCCGGCGACCACTCCCCATCCATACCCCGACCTCAAAAGCTCTCGCCATCGTCCAAACATGGCACAGACAAGAGGTCACCAGGGTCGTCGTCTGTAGGAGCCTTCCCGTTGAGCGGACATCAGTCAGACATGGACTACTCACCCTCAGGGGGTGAAGGATACCGCAGAATGTCACAGCAACACGTTTACCCTCCACAGTTCAGCCCCAGGACAGTACCAATATACATGGCACACACACCAACATCTAGTGGAGGGGCCCCACCGCCCGAGCGCATCTCCTACTCACAACCAGTCAGCCGCAGCGCTAGTCGGGCAGACAGCTTCAAGGGTACACTAGGTCAGTTACAGATACACACCAGTGACAGCCAGCTACCCCATCTCCAGCTCGACTCAGGGCTCAGTGATCAAATGATGGACATGTTTTCTGGTAATGTAAATTTGGCCTCCTATCACCAAAATCAGTCTGGACCGGAGGCTGGCCTTCCACACATGGTGCCAAGGTCCAAGTTCATGCCCTCAAATCGTAATGTTGATTCCAGTGGTGCCTATGTAGAGGGCAGTGAGATGACACTTCAGGCACCTGAACTTTTTGCTCCTCCACCAATGTTTGCTGACACCTCAAGTCGTGCTAACTTGGCGGATGTGTCTCCTGTACTGGACACAAATGCTGTATTAAATCTAGGTCAAGATCATCAGGTGTCCCAACCACCTTGTGAACAAAGACACTACATGGAAACAGATTTGGACGAAGACTTGGAGGTATGTATACCAAATACTTAATTTAAGATATAGTTTGTCTCTTCCTTAAAAATTTTGGGAGAAAAATTAGCTGTGGTATGTCATTTACTACAAGAGAATTTGTCAAAGACATTTCTGAGACTAATAGGCTTAGAATCATGTTTATTTGACATTATTTTTATCTTTTACAAACAGTCGTCTCCAGATACTTCCTTGTCAGAGAGTCTTCCACCGAAACAAAGAGCAGGAAACAAGAAGAAGGAAACGTTACATCCAGAACTGAAGGAGAAAATATTTGGTCAAAATATGTTTGCAATACCACTTATGATGGCACTATGCAAGGACAAAACATTGATGGGGGCGAACAGTCAGAATGGTAATTTGAGTGGCTCCTATGATGCATCTACGATACAATCAACCGATTCTCGAATCTCACACAGGTTGTCTAATGACCTTGACCCTAGGCGACTGTCATCATGTTACCCTAGTAGTACTATGGTATCATCACACTCCAATCGGCCATTCAGTTGGCACAGTGAAAGTTTTGACTTGGATGCACAGTTGGCCTTCAGTGGCTACCCGGGTGTGGCTTCCTCTGTTGACAATCATCGGAGTGTGCCTCAAAATATTGGTGACCTAACTGGGATTACAAATGCATCTTGGACTCATGCTATATCACATGGGATTCCCTTCAGACAAGGTGTGTTGGACAGATACTCTCCCGAACTCATAGCAACACAGCTTATGATTCCACCAAAAATCTCCAGTGGAAGGGGACATAACTCCAATGATAGAAATATCAGCCAAAAGCCACTGAAGGAAACCATAGGCATAGCATGACAGTGAAAGTTTTTTCTTTTTTTTTTTCTCTAAACTTTGTTGAGTTTGTGACATTTTATGTTATTGTTCCCTCTGTGCTAATATAAATACCTCTTTATGTTATTGAATGTATATTAACAACAGATGGTATTCTATCTAATTTTGAAAATCAAAATGTGTTTTATGTTCTGCCAAGACTATTAAGGTAGTGTATAAAAGGTTCCACCTCTTGAGATGAATCCTGCCAATATTTTATCCTACATTTCTTCCAAAAGTTTTAGATGCCAGTGTCTTTTGTTCAAACAAATTTCTTGTTCACATGTTCAACGAATATTATGTGGAATATACTCTATTTTTACATCAGTATTTGTGATTTTGTATGTCAGCCAAATCATACCCCCCTGTTGATCATATTTTAACTATCAGGATTTGTTTCGAAATACTGTAATTTTTTCCTTATAGATGCCGCTGTCATCTGACCTTGTCCACATTTAGTGGTTAGGGATTCTTTGTTTTGGGACTTTTATTATTGTTATATGGTTCACTTATTAAGAATTTCACAGTCAAGTGATGTTGCCTATGAAAGAAGACACTCTATGACAGTTGTTGGTGCTTGCTACTACAAAGAACTCGATGGTAGCTCTTTGTCGAGATTGAAGTACTCAAAGTTGTTTACATAATCCCAGTTTTGAATGAATGGGAGGGAACACAAGACGTATATTCAGATATGCTTATTTGAATCTTCCTTCAAAACTTTGATTTATTTTGGTTTGAAATTTTAAAAGGATAGAGTAATATTTGTACTGTGTGCTGCTGCCTAGGAGCGAGGGAGACTGTTCATGTTCTGTGTGTTAGCTCTCACACCTTATGTCCTGTGTTATATACTATAACCTGTAACTGAGCAAGATCAGGCTACAGATTCTGTAACAATACCCAAAGAGAGGCGCAGGCCAAGATTCGATTTTTGTAGAATCTTAGCCTGAGACTTAGATAACCTGATCTCACTTAGTTACAGGTAATTGATTCTTTTCTCACACCTTAACACCTTATCAGTTGGATACATTTTTTTTTCATCATAGTTATAGGTATTCTGTCTGGCCTCTGCACTTCTTAAGTTATATTTGAATACTTAAAAAACAAATGATATGGTCCATGCTAAAAAGAGAAAAAAAAATTGTATCACAGTGTTAATTATGTTTGATATACAATATAATGAATTAATAACACCAAAATATTTACAGTGAATATTTTATATGTCTGTGATTATATCGCCGAGTTAAATTTGGTGCTAGACAGATCAAGTAAGATTAGAAAATATAGCACTGGGTATAATGTGAGATATCCTTGTCTTGGAATTCGTCAGCACACATTGTTGTACATGCCCTCATTCAAGTTGCCATTTGGCCACAGTACACATTGCAAACAGATACAGGTGTTCAGTTCAAGGTGAAGATGACAGTCTGTTTTAGAATTTCTAAATAACATCTTGATTCTACAGCAAACTTCACAACAAATTCTTTTGAACTTGTCTCATTAATCATGAATTATATTACAATGTACTACAAAATAGGAGATAAATAGACAAATTATGTTAAAACTCATTTTTTTATCATTGGTTCAGTATTTCACAGACATACGGTTCAGTAGAGTTGATACATACAGTATACAGTAGAGTTGATACATACGGTATACAGTGGAGTTGATACATATGGTACAGTAGAGTTGATACATACAGTACAGTAGAGTTGTGATATGTAAGGTACAGTAGAGTTGATACATACAGTAGAGTTTATATATACGGTACAGTAGAGTGGATACATACGGCACAATGGAGTTGATACATACGGTACAGAGGAGTTGATACATACGGTACAGTAGAGTTGTTACATACAGTACAGTAGAGTTGATACATACCATACAGTGGAGGTGATACATACGGTACAGTAGAGTTGATACATAAAGTATACAGTTGAGTTGATACATACAGTAGAGTTGATACATACGGTACAGTAGAGTTGTTACATACAGTACAGTAGAGTTGATACATACGGTACAGTGGAGTTGATACATATGGTACATTAGAGTTGATACATACGGTATACAGTGGAGTTAATACATATGGTACAGTAGAGTTGATACATACGGTACAGTGGAGTTAATACATACGGTACAGTAGAGTTGATACGTACAGTATACAGTAGAGTGGATACATACGGTACAATGGAGTTGATACATGCGGTACAGTGGAGTTGATACATACGGTACAGTTGAGTTGTGATACATATGGTACAGTGGAGTTGATACATACGGTACAGTAGAGTTGATACGTACAGTATACAGTAGAGTGGATACATACGGTACAGTAGAGTTGATACATACGGTACAGTAGAGTTGATACATACAGTAGAGTTTATACATACGGTACAGTAGAGTGGATACATACGGTACAATGGAGTTGATACATACGGTACAGTGGAGTTGATACATACGGTACAGTAGAGTTGATACATACCATACAGTGGAGTCGATACATACGGTACAGTAGAGTTGATACATATGGTACAGTAGAGTTGATACATACGGTACAGAGGAGTTGATACATATGGTACAGTTGAATTGATACATACGGTAGAGTTGATACATACAGTAGAGTAGAGTTGATACATACGGTACAGTAGAGTTGTTACATACAGTACAGTAGAGTTGATACATACCATACAGTGGAGTTGATACATACGGTACAGTTGAGTTGATACATATGGTACAGTTGAATTGATACATACGGTAGAGTTGATACATACAGTAGAGTAGAGTTGATACATACGGTACAGTAGAGTTGATACATACGGTACAGTGGAGTTAATACATACGGTACAGTAGAGTTGTTACATACAGTACAGTAGAGTTGATACATACGGTACAGTGGAGTTGATACATATGGTACAGTTGAATTGATACATACGGTAGAGTTGATACATACAGTACAGTAGAGTTGATACATACAGTACAGTAGAGTTGATACATACGGTACAGTGGAGTTGATACATACGGTACAGTTGAGTTGTGATACATATGGTACAGTGGAGTTGATACATACAGTACAGTAGAGTTGATACATACAGTACAGTAGAGTTGATACATACAGTACAGTAGAGTTGTGATACATAAGGTACAGTAGAGTTGATACATACGGTACAGTAGAGTTGATACATACGGTACAGTAGAGTTGTGATACATAAGGTACAGTAGAGTTGATACATACGGTACAGTAGAGTTGATACATACGGTGAAGTTGATACATACGGTACAGCACTTTCACAAGGGGCTGGGATGATATATGAGAGCCCCTGATCACATAAGTTAAGATTATTTTCATTTCGTTTTCAAATTTATTATTTTTCAATTTAATAACATTTTGTAGCTAAACCATTATTTCAGTGGAGTTGATACATACGGTACAGTAGAGTTGATACATACGGTACAGTAGAGTTGTGATACATAAGGTACAGTAGAGTTGATACATACGGTACAGTAGAGTTGATACATACGGTGAAGTTGATACATATGGTACAGCACTTTCACTAGGGGCTGGGATGATATATGAGAGCCCCTGATCACATAAGTTAAGATTATTTTCATTTTGTTTTCAAATTTATTATTTTTCAATTTAATAACATTTTGTAGCTAAACCATTATTTCCGAACCTATGCATATTGATGGAAATACATTAAAGTTCTTCTTTGTTCTACTGTATTTTTCCTTGCCATTTTTTACACATGTTGTACTATTTTGAGCATTTCCCCATGTAACATACCAGTGCAATATATTACTGGTTTCTTTTATATTAAAAGTCGGATTGTGATATAAACTATATTGATATTATTTTTCAACTATTTATGATATGCATTTTTTTTGTTTTGTATTTTTATTTCCCACCTAAATTTCATTTAAGAATGAAAAGGCTAGTTATGATGCCCTGATTTTTCACAAAAAAAATGTCAAAAGTGTGTAATCAGATCAAAGCGTTTATTGCTGTTTTTATGAGCTTGTTGTTTATATTGGATAGTTCACTTGTGATACCCATATTTGTTTATATTTTATCAAAACAAACAAAATCGGCAATTGTTTATATCTTAATGTGTTTTTAATTTCGAAAGTCAACTTCAGTAATTGGTAAGATTTTCAATTCCATGATTCAAAATTTATAATTTGGGAGAAAAGTCATCTGTGTAAGTAATCACCACGTCAGTGTAACAAAGGGAGAACCATGGTAAGAGGATGTCATTTTACTTGTGTTATTGATCAAAACAGACATTAATAAGATATAAATATATATTATATAGAGATGAAGTTTCATTCAATGGATATATTACCAGTATATATAATTTGCTATGTACATGTAGGTGTGTTTTTTATGAAAAAATGTAGCTTGAGAGCAACCTGATTGACCGATGTTTGCGTCTATAAAGATTTGAGGATTTGATACATCCTGAGGTTAAGGAAGAAGATTTATACTGATGTAAACGATATCTGTGGAGGTTGTCAACAACATTGGTCACATTCTGTTATAGTGCAATAATATATTTTATATATTTCCTTTGAGTGATTGAGAGGTTAATTCTATAATGTATGACTGAGAGAGTGACAGAGATAACTTGTATGATGTATGACAAAGTGACAGAGATAACTTGTATAATGTATGACAAAGTGACAGAGATAACTTGTATAATGTATGACAAAGTGACAGAGATAACTTGTATAATGTATGACAAAGTGACAGATAACTTATATAATGTATGACTAAGTGACAGAGACAACTTTTATAATGTATGATGTTGACTATGTGAAACAATCTAAGCTGCTTAATACCATGTGTAGGATAAAAAATAAATCCTTTAGAGTCATTTTTTGGCACTTTTTGGCAAATGTTATCTTCAGTCTACATTTTAATATTAATTTTCTTTTTAAAGTAATGTTTGGACAAATTATCCTTTCTGTAAGAGCTCTCAAAGGTGGGTTTTACCTGTTGGAGCTTGTAAATAGTAAATTATATCCGAGGAGGATCTTAAACGGTGCGTTCTATCTGTAAGAGTTCTTCAACAGAGAGTATTCCTGACCAGCTCCTTAACATCAGTTAAGCCTGGACAACTACAGCATTGAATTATTTTATATCAAATCAACTTCAGAGTAACATGTTATGTGCTTTGTGTGAGTGAAGGACAGAGGGCATGACTATAGCTGTGAACTAGAATGTTGTGGTATGTTAAAAGTTTGTGTGTATTAAACTACATGTAGTTGTACATAAAAATATATATAATAATAATGTAAACTTGCTCAGGGTGATATATTTATTGCATTTTAGTTGCATATTATGAGCAGAAGTTAGCGACGTTTAATGTTTTAGAGAACATTATATTGAAATAGATGTTTGTTGGTAAATTGCCTGTGTGTTTACCTGTGGTATTGTTACAGAATGGTGTGTACCAGTGATATATATAATTGTGTACTTATGGTACACGGGTATACATGGTACTGTGGCCGATATTGATCATACTATTACCTATGTGTCTGGGAAGTTGATTTTCATCTACATATTACATTATACAAGTAGTACATATGTGCAGTGGCTTCAATATTACACATATTCAAATCAATAGTATATAGAAAAGCACACAAGGAACAATTAAGTTATTCAGAATGGACACAATTCTGTGCAGACTACATTAATATAATCAGAGAAAACTATTCAAGTGAGAAATGAGACTGAACAGATCTATTGTGTTAAGCACTGTAGTCATTCCAGAAACTTGGTCTACCAAGTAAGTAATGTACATGTTGTGTAAGCTATCCGACAGTAGCCAGCCCAACAGCCTGACTATCCCACAGCTGATGGTAAGACAGCCTGACTATCCCACAGCTGACAGTAAGACAGCCTGACTCTCAGACATCTGAAAGTCAGACAGCCAAACTATCCCACAGCCTGACTGTCCGACAGCCTGACTGTAATACAGCCAAGCTATCCCACAGCTGACAGTAAGACAGCCTGACTCTCAGACATCTGAAAGTCAGACAGCCAAACTATCCCAAAGCCTGACTGTCAGACAGCTTGACTGTAATACAGCCTAACTATCAGACAGTTTGACTATCAGACAGCCTGACTATCAGACAGTTTAACTATCAGACAGCCAGCCTAACTTTCGGACAGCAAGGCTTATTATCGGACAGCCTGACTATCAGACAGATTGACTATCAGGCAGTCTGACTATAGGACAGCCTTACTATCAGACAGCCTAAATGTTAGACAGTCTAACTGTAAGAAAGCCTAACTATCAGACAGCCTGACTACCAGACAGATTGACTATCAGACAACCTGACTATCAGACAGCTTGACTACCAGACAGCCTGACTACCAGACAGCTTAACTATCAGAGAGTTTGTCTATCAGACAGTTTGTCTATCAGACAGCCTAACTAAACAGCCTGACTACCAGACAGATTGACTACCAGACAGCCTAACTATCAGACAGTTTGTCTATCAGACAGCCTAACTGTTAAACAGCCTAATTATGAGACGGCCTAACTGTCCGACAGACAGGCAGCCATGTTGAAAACAATACTTTTGGTCAATGTCTGACAATTGTTCAGCAAAATTAGAGAACAGTCCTATGGACTGACCAACATATTTATATCTAGTCTTATGAAAAATTACAATAACTTGAAATTGTTTAATCTTTAAGTTGTTTTTGTTACGTTGTTCTTAGTGCAGTAAGAATTCATTATTGTGGTCAGTATTCCTTATGGTTGTGGACGTTTTGTAAGTTTCTAAGCCTACCACTGTTGAATGACCGTTACATATGTATAACCTACCATTTGGGTGTAATCGGTGCATATATATATATAATCTACTAAGTGGTATAATAAGGTAAATATACTTTCTGCTCATACAAGAAAGCTTTAACACTCATTTTCAGACTACCCACTTTAGTGGTTGGGTAAGATTATGTCCTGAATCTTTGTCATTGACTCCACAAGGGTTACCTCCCCTGTATCATAGGAGTCTTCAGCTATATACAGCATTACTGTACAGCTTCATACTATTGTTTTCAGTATAATTATTTAATATATTATAAATCTTTCATATTGTATTATCTATGCAAGACTTTTATAACTGTGTTTCGTACAAACATATTGATCTAACACAGCAGCCAGTCATGGTTCTCTGTTAGTACAGATCTAACACAGCAGCCAGTCATAGTCTCTGTTACTACAGATCTAACACAGGAGCCAGTCATGGTTCTCTGTTAGTACAGATCTAATACAGCAGCCAGTCATGGTTCTCTGTTAGTACCCATCGTTACAACACAGCAGCCACTCATGGTTCTCTGTTAGTTCTGATCTAACACAGCAGCCAGTCATGGTTCTCTGTTAGTACAGATCTTACACAGCAGTCAGTCATGGTTCTCTGTTAGTACAGATCTAACACAGCAGCCAGTCATTGTTCTCTGTTAGTACCAATCTAATACAGCAGCCAGTCATGGTTCTCTGTTAGTACAGATCTAACACAGCAGCCACTCATGGTTCTCTGTTAGTACAGATCGAACACAGCAGCCAGTCATGGTTCTCTGTTAGTACAGATCTAACCCAGCCGCCAGTCATTGTTCTCTGTTAGTACCAATCTAATACAGCAGCCAGTCATGGTTCTCTGATAGTACCGATCTAACACAGCAGCCAGTCATGGTTCTCTGTTAGTCCCGATCTTACACAGCAGCCACTCATGGTTCTCTGTTAGTACAGATCTAATACAGCAGCCAGTCATGGTTCTCTGTTAGTACCAATCTTACACAGCAGCCAGTCATGTTTCTCTGTTAGTACCGATCTTACACAGCAGCCAGTCATGGTTCTCTGTTAGTACAGGTCTAACACAGCAGCCAGTCATTGTTCTCTGTTAGTACCAATCTAATACAGCAGCCAGTCATGGTTCTCTGTTAGTACAGGTCTAACACAGCAGCCAGTCATTGTTCTCTGTTAGTACCGATCTTACACAGCAGCCAGTCATGGTTCTCTGTTAGTACCGATCATTACAATACAGCAGACAGTCATGGTTCTCTGTAAGTAATCCGCCTCAGTTTCACAAACATTCCTTAATTTTTCCATTAGAAAGCATTATTGGAAATATAAAAATGGTTTTAAG